ACAAATGAATAAAAGATAAAATAAATAACCAAACCGTTGTGACGTTAAGTCTTGGCTCGGATTTGAGCTTAACAATAGTTCTGCCCTCGATCGGACCCTCTGTTAGGAGCCAAATGTGTATGAAGAATGGTTGTGATTAAAATAAGAAATTCTCAATAACTAGAAAGTAGAGAAACAAGTTTGTATTTTTTTGATATGCGTGTTACAGTGTGTTCATTGAATAACAACTACCCCTTTTATATAGTAGGAGAGTTTCACCCCTAGTATAATAAAAAGATAAAAATACTCCTTTCTAGTCAATTATAGATTCGCTGCCAATATCGAGCGAGATCCGTGCCGTGATATCCGATGGGATGCGGATATCACGGCCCTTTGTTAGTCGTATGTAACCGCAGTCGTGCTTTCCGAGGTCTCAGAGCTCATTCCAGGATCGGAGAAGTATTGTCTTATCAAGCCCGGTGGCGACCACTCCACTCAAACCTTAGTACGAGACGTTCTGCTTCGATCACGATCCCATATAATCATGCCTTTGCTTCGTTTGATCCACTGAAAAATCCGTATACAATTATGACACTTATCGTTTATAACAAACGAGTAAACTAATATAAGAAAATTTTGATACTATCAAATCAACTAAACAATAATTATAACTAACTGTTCGTAATAAGTGAGATCGATAATAAAAAAAGTAAGTATCTAATAGAACACATTAACGTACACTGATAAGGCAAAAATCTTTTACACAATATATGATTGTATATAACATGCCTCAATATATTTAAAAAATTTCTACTTACCATATAGGTCCCTCTTTCTTAAATATCGTGTCACATGTTTTTATCTTCATTTTCTTAAATGTTTTTGTTCTTATCCAGCTATCTTAAGGTTCAGAGACTCAAGCAATTAGTTCCCTCGATTATAATATGATATACTATATATATATATTATATATATATATATATATATATATATATATATATATATATATATCACAGCACATCTGAAGCGTCGAAGTTCTACTAATTATCACAGTTTGATTAGGAGCTGATATGAAAAGGGAGTTGGTTCCTCTAAAATCTATGGGATTGGTTGGGTTGGGAAGCTTTATATATAATTATATATGTATAGTTTTCTTCTTCTTCTTTTCATCCCTTTGCTTTTAGCAAATATTTAAAGCTTACCAATTTCACCCATTCCTATGGATTTTGGGGTTCTCTCCTTTTTCTCATGAGATAGCAAAAAGCTCACCTCGATCCATTACGTGCAGGTATAGTATCTTACTATCCCCACCCACCCCCCACCCGCCTTTTTTTTTTAAAATTAATTTATTTATTTTTTAATGGTATTTGTTGTTTGTTTTTCCCTTGGTCTCTATATGTGGCGTCGTTTGATTTGGCCTAAAAGAAGCCTTAAATATTTGTGTATAAATCATCAAAATGAGAATTTTAAAGTTTAAATTTTTTAAAATGTAGAAAGATGATATTCTTTTGGAAATAGACTAAAAAAAGATTTGTCACGTAAATTGTAACAGAAGGAGTAATTAAATTCAGTTTGTGATCTTCATTCTGCATACATTAGGGTATTATTAGGATGTTAAACCTCCGTGATGAAACTAGCGTGCTAACTGCTCAAGATTTTATTTCATCACCAGATTTATTAATAGTACAAGAGTTGCCACAAAAAGTTAACTGCACAAACTAGGTGGGAATTATTCAAAGCCAAATCCAGAATCTAGAATCAACGAGCCTAGGAAGAGTACATTAAAGTTCTTTTTTTTCATATATGTATATTACCTATTTTGAGCAGCAATGAGTTCAATTGATTCGTACACATACATAAAGCAATGAGTTCAATTGATTCGTACACATACATAACTCGAGTTGAAATTATACAATGGGGTGCATCAATATATAGATAAATCATATACGCCGTAGCTTCAACGCTTGTATGACTATGTTGCGATATCAAAATCTTTCGTCTTATTTTTTGATATTTTGCTTAAAGTATATAATATATAT